CGAGGGGTCTAGGAAGGGCTTCAGAGGGCCCCAAGACGGCGCCCAAGACGGCTCCAAGAGGGCCCCAAGAGGGCGCGCGCGGTCTCATCGGATCGCCGTTTTCGATGAGACCGCGCGCGCCCTCTTGGGGCCCTCTTGGAGCCGTCTTGGGGGCCTCTTGGAGCCGTCATGGGGCCCTCTTGGGCCCCCTGAGGGCCCTAGGAAGGGCCTCAGAGGGCCCCACGACGGCTCCAAGAGGCCCCCAAGACGGCTCCAAGAGGGCCCCAAGAGGGCGCGCGCGGTCTCATCGAAAACGGCGGCCGCCCGAGGGGGGGTCGTATCTGCCCGGCCCCGGGACCCTCCGGGACGGGGGAGTCGCATCTCAGGAGCCTTTCATGACTCCTCACGGCCCTCTCAGGACTTTCGCATCATCCTGCGATTGGGGTGTCCTGCCAGGACATGCTGGGACCATCATCCATGGAGAAGCGGCCGATCAGGAGGTCGAATCGCTTCGCTCACTCCGCTTGCCCCTGGGGGCAGGTGCTACTGAAGGAAGCCGAGGAGCGGGGCGTCCAGCTGGACTGCGCCCGCGGGCCCGTGCGCGCGGCGGCCTCATGGGCGGCTCGCCGTGAGGTCCTGGGGGCTCCGGGTGTGCTCTGGCCCTGGAGAGCGGGAGCATGTAGAGATAAAGCAGGGAGGGGAAGTGGGGAGGAAGACGACGAGGATTAAGTGCAGGATGCTACTGATGGTGATGATGCTGATGCTGATGCTGATGCTGATGATGATGATGATGATGGTGGTGGTGGTGGTGGTGGTGGTGATGATGATGATGATGATGATGATGATGATGATGATGCTGGTGGTGGTGGTGGTGATGATGCTGCTGATGATGATGATGATGGTGATGACGATGGTGATGGTGATGCTGATGCTGATGATGCTGACGATGATGATGCTGATAGTGATGAAGATGATGATGATGATGATGATGATGATGATGATGATGATGATGATGATGATGATGATGATGATGATGATGATGATGATGATGATGATGATGATGCTGATGATGATGACGATGATGCTGATGGATGTGCTTGCTCGGGAATGTTGTCTGCGGTGTTGGAGCACCGCCGTCTCATCGCCATCTTTCCATTGACACGCTCCCTCAAGTTTTTTCCGGCTATGAGGTAGCCCGCGCCACGATCCTGGTGCTCGCGCGCGGGGTCAGCACCGGGGCGGTATTGTGGGGCGCGGGCCATCCTTGTCAGCCCTGCGCCCCAGTCCTGCAGTTCCTCGCGGTGCTGGCGACCACATGCAGCTGCGAGACACCGTCGCCCCTGGCCGAGGCCGGCGCCGTGGTGGTGTTGGGTTGCTGGTCGTTTGGGCGTACGTGCTTGGCGCGGTGTGGGGGCTCGCGACCCCCGAGCGGCGTTCGGGGTACGTGCCGGCCCCCCACGGACGTGGTGAAGGAGGCGGTCGCGTCGCTCGAAGAGAAGGCGCGGGCGCAGCTGTCGTTCGTGAGCGGCCGAGGCGTTGCAGCTCGAGCGTGATGGCGAGCAGCTCAGGGAGCTATGTGATGGTATCGTACCAAGGCATCCCGGGCCCCGCCGTGCACCACGTGAGGTTGGTTCGGGCCGTCCGCCCGGGGTCTCTCAACGCCTTCGGGCCCACGCCCGATCTCGAGTACTACGGGGAGTCGGACACCATTGGGCTGGACTCCGTCAGTGTGCATGTCTGGGCATACGCTTGGGAGGTGCCGGTCGCCGCTGGGCAGGTCCACGGATTTCGATTGGCGCCGTCCCAGGCGGTGATCGACGCGTTCCCGATGCGGGGAGCTCACCATTTGGGTGTGCCGTGCATGTCGTTGCCGCTCGTGTGCCACTTCAATCCGCCTAGCGGGGAGGATGCCGTGGAGGATAGTGGAGGCTGCTCGATCGAGAATGTCGTTTGCCACCAGCTGCCGCTCGGCACCCTCGTGCTCTGCGACGATGCCCGCATCCACGTGGCTGGCGTCTCCGTGGCGGTGGCGCAGCTCTCGGCCGCGGACGCGCGGGTGCTCGCCAAGGGCGACGATCGCACGTTGGCGGTGAGGTATGATGTCCAGGGCGTACTCCGTCGCACATGGGGCGACGCCTTGGCCAACTCGTCGGAGGAGGTCATCGCATGGGATCTTCAGGGGCCTCGCACTATCCTCTCGGGCATGAAGCGCGTGCGGGACAATGACAACAGCGCCCTCCACTCGCGCGAGAACTGGGTGTGCCGCTCCAGGGTGCCCGCAGGAGATAGGAGCATCACCGAGCATGAGGTTCTCTGTCGCACCTTCTACGTGGCGGCGACGCAGGATCGTTTGAACTGCCCGTCGTCCCTATGCTTGGAGCTGGCATCGCGATGCCTCGCGCTGATCGAGGAAGCGTCCCAGGTCTCGCCGAGCCAGACCGACTAGTTACTGTGCGGCCGACCTGTGCATGGGCTGGGCTCTCCGCGCGGGTGGCGGGGCCATCGCTCACGGCCTGTCGGCGCACGTCGCCGATCAGCTCAGGCCGGAGTCGGCGATCTTGGAGGAGGCGCAGAAGGCGCGGGACGAGACCAACGCGAGGGCGAAGGATCGTGGCAAGGACGAGGGCGCGACGGCTGCCAAAGCCGCGGGCGAGGAATGACGCGGCGTGGGCCGCGGGGGCGGCGGTTGGGCCCGCCTGCCCACCCTCTTTCGCCAGCCTTGCTACCCTGTCCCATCTCAGGGTGGCGAGGCACGGCGCGTGCCCAGGGAGCTCGTCCCGCTCCCAAGTTTTGACGAGGCGACGCTGGGCGCCTCGCAACTCTCCCACTCAGTTCGCCAGCGGCTTCGACATCGGCATGCCACGGGGCTCACCGGCACCGCCGAGGGCGGACAGGGGCACGGCCCAGTCAGCGGCTCAGCTCACAGTTTTGAGGCACGTTCTTCCCGCAGGAGTGCCTTTTTTTCGCAGCAGCGAGAAGCCGCCCGCGAGCCTCTCGGCTCCGACCTCTTCTACGACGGTGGAGAGGTTCCAAGTGCCGTGGCCAGGTACGATGCCGCGCTGATCGCGGTGCCGGAGGAGTTGGAGCAGCCTCCCGCTGCACTTCATGTTCTCGACCCTGAGGGGGCCCGCTGCCTCGGGGAGTTTCGATCGCGTATGATGTTTTCTGAGGATGACTTTGGCCAGCGGTGCGAGAGTGAGGCCCCAGTCGTCCCATGCGTGGACCCTGCGCTCGCCTCGGACCCTGACGAATATGCGGACTCTGTGGCGCGGCTGGACCGGGCAAACATGCTGAGGTGCTCGACCAACGCTCAGGACCTCATCGCACCGTTCTTCGTCCGTAAGAAGTCTGGGCAGCTGCGGATCGCGTGGGTTTGCAGGGCAGTCTACGCGAGGTTCGCGATGTGCCTCAGGATGAACATGTCGTCGGGGAGCAAGCTCGCGGACCTCGAGTTCGGCCAGGATGACGAGGTGTTCACCGCGCAGGCGGACCTGGCGAATTACTTCTACCATCTCGCGATCGCGGAGGAGCTGTCCGAGTACTTCGCCCTCCCCGCGGCCGGCGTGGCCCTGCTGAGGACCATGTGCAGGCCCCCCCCGACCTTGCTGCGCTGCCCGACGGCAGCATGGTGTCGCCTTGCCTCGCGGCGGTCCCGATGGGCTGGAGTTGGGCGATGTGGGTTGCCCAGCGATGGTCTACCACCAATCCATGTGCAGCAGGGCTGTGACGGTGGGTCGCAGCCTGAGTGACGAGCGGCCCGCCCCGGACATGTCGGACGGCAAGCTGGCGCTGCTCGCCTACGCCGACAACCTGAACGTCGCTGGCTCCGACGCGCAGCGCGCAGGGGCCCTGCGAGGCGGGCTGGTTGACCACTTCAGGCGCGTCGGGTTCGTCGCGCGTGAGATCTAGGGGCCCTCCGTGGACGCCGTCGCGCTGGGCTACAAGGTCATGGGCCGCGAGAGGCTAGTCGTCCCCGCGGATCGCAAGCTGGAGTTGCTAAGTGCTGCAGGGCTCCGGCTTCTTCGGCGTCTCCGCATCAGCGGCGAAACTTTGGAGTGGTTCGTGGGGCACTGCGCTCGTTTGTGCATGCTGCGTCGTGAAATGTTCGCTATCTTCCATCGCGTCTGCTCCTTCATCTCGGCTCACGCCGTCAGCCGCTGCCGTGTCTGGGTTCAGTGTGCAAAGAGATCAGGTGGTTCGTCGCGCTGCTGCCCTTTTGTCAGGCGCGGCTCGATAGACCATGGTGCTCGAAGGTCACCTCGTGCGACGCCTGTTTTTCTGGGTATGCCGTATGCTCGCCGGTGCCCGACTCAAACGTCGTCAGGTCGCTCGGGGGCCTCGGGGAGAAGTCTAAGTACAAGGCTGGGGCCCCCGCTATCAGGGCTCGAGATCGCTCGCTGCTAGGTGCGGGCGTTTTCAACAACATCAACGTTGTCAAGCCCGTGGGCCACTACGAGACTCCAGAGGCCTGGGGCGAAAACCCAATCTTCGTCGAGATCCCTCAGGAGCTCGTGGACCCCAAGGATTGGCAGCTCGATTTCGCGGCTCGATTCCTGGAGGCCGAAAACATCATGGTACTCGAAGGTAGGGGCTCGGTGGCCGCCCTGAGGCACCAACTTCGTTCTCTGGCGTCTTTCGGCTGCTCACTTCTACATCTTGGGGATAATATATCTCTCTTTTGGCTTCAGAGAAGGGCAGGTCTTCTGCTCCAGGATTGCTGGGGACCTGCCGGCGCCTGCTCGCAATCACCCTCGCCGCCGATGTGCGGGTGCACCGCCGGTGGCGCCCGTCCGAGCTGAGCGCCGCGGATGGTGGCTCGTGGCTCTGGGGGGGCACAGACGCGCTCTCGCGTGGTCCTGAGGCGCCCGGTTTCGTCCAAGGGCCATGTCAAGCTGACCGGGTTCCTGCCCTTGTCGCCGGCGCTCTCGGCCGTCGTCCGCGAGGTCGTATTCCCCTCTGGCTTGGGCGCGGTCTCCGCGCTGCCGCTCGGGGCCGTCATGCCATCGTCGCGGCCGAGGTGCCGCGGAGCCTTGCGAGGGTTGAACGGCTTTTGTCTCCTCGGGGGCTTGCAGGTGAACGCGCTGGGATCGGCCGACGTCGCGTTGTCCGAGCTGGCGCAAGAGAGGTTCACCGACGACGACGACCTGTCCGCGGGGCAGGAGCTCTGCGCGGCCTGGCAGGCAACATGCCCGTCGGCGGGCAGAGGGGGGGCGCCCCTCCCCCGCGCCTGCCTGGCCCTCCAGGCCTGGTCGCGCCTGGGGCCGGCCGTCGCCCGGCCGCCAAGGCCGTGGCTCGTCGCGGTCAAGGTGGCGTAGGTGATGGTCGACTGGGGCGAGCCGCTGGCGGCGCTGTTGCTGGTGCTCTGCTTCGCATGTTACCTGAAGCCCTCGGAGAGGCTGAACCTGCAGGTGGCGGACGTGGTGGCGCCGCTGTTCCCGACCTCGATATTCGTCGCGCTCAACCTTCACCCAGGGGAGAGGGGCCAGACTTCGGAGACCTCGACGACGAACGAGAGCCTGCTGATCGACTATCCGAGGAGGCTCTTCATCGACGAGGGGCTGCTGTTGGCCGTGGGGCTGGCG